TTATTCGTAAAGTAGGTGGTCCAACTAAGTATTAATGTTTTACCAAGTGTGCTTTTTTCTGTTTTTTTTTTCATTATGTGTTGAAGTATGGCATATAATTTTGACGCGGCACATTTATTAAAATGAACTGTAAAAATGAAGCTGTTTCTGCTTCACAGTCCATTGTAGTGCAGTATGTCACATGTGACAGAAGTGGGTAGGAACCGAGATAGCAGGAAAATGTGGGGTGGCATAAGCGATTGACGCGCACTGTATTGCGCAAGGGCAGCTAAACCCTGCTTTTAAGCATCTCAAATTCAAGACTGATGGCGCTCAGAGAAGCGCTGCTGCAGGAAAAAAAAGAAAAATTCGTGCATAACTCATGAAATGAGAAAAATCAGCGTAAGTGTTCATCCCGAAGGCGGAATTTCCAACCATGACTGTCTCAGCCGATGAAAGATAAACCTAGGGATCGAATGTAGTTTCATCGTTTTCAAAGGCTGCGTGACCCCACCTGTAGAATCACGTCGCCATAACATATCAAAAAGAGGCATAAACAAATAATCTACGATTTTGACAAAAAATGGGAAAATAAACTAATCCAGGCTGCTGCAGCGATAGGATAGGTACACTTACCAGCGTCAAATCCTCTGAGTCCAACACAGATATGTCACCTCGCAAAAGTAGTGCTTCAATCAGATGTAAGGTACCAATCTAGAATGTCAGAATGAACGATAAAAAAAGCAGTATAATGTAACACTACTAAAATCAAGTCAAAAAAGCCCACCCTGAGAGCACGAGAATTCTTCTTAAGAAACTCAGTAAACGTCGGTAGAAGGAATGGCACAATTGGCGAAATATCAACGAGAGGATTTCGACTTTCAGCTATCATTATAAGAGCGCGAACAGCGTAAAGGCGTGTCATTTCGTTACGAAGACGCTCCATCATAAGTTCCAATGTAGTCGGAACCTATCAGATAAAACTAGTAGCCGTATACATCAGTTGAATGAATAAGTAATGGGAAAAAACAATCTCAGGAGCACTCGTCTCCTCACTTCCCCTATCTGAACGATGTTGGTAAAGACGGAGTGAGGGAATGGATAAATTGAATTTGGAAAAAAATTTTAGGCTGCGATTTGATAGAAGCTAAACTACCCCGATGAAATTTCCCAGTCCATTCGTTTAATACTTCCGAAAAACATGTAAGAGGAGAGGAGAAGAGATTAAACAGTTCCAAGAAATGGTCATGAAAGAATTTTCGAGAAAGAAAGACATCTTTCTAGACACCGTATTGCACCAAATTCAAAAGGAAAAAAGAATAAATAAATAAGAAAAAGTACCATCGCAGGCATGTCATCAGCAAAAGTCGCAATGAAGAGGCCAGCTGCGTAAATAGCACGTTCTTTCACTTCCTAAACATAGTGATTGAAGAGACCTCACAGTAGCGATGAGGGAGTTACCTGATCAATGTCGTTGATTTTCAATTTCTCAAAAATAGCATTGTACAGAGTGGGCACTAGATTACCACTGCCGCAATCGCGAATGACTGGAACGAGAAGCGACGCTACGCTCAGACCCTCAGCTGATACCTTAACCGAAGTATAGTTGGATTACTACTGGTCATAGGAAGTACACAACAACTGAACCGAGTACCTTGTAGAAACTGTCTTGAATGGCACCCACAGTCAACTGAACAATGCTTTCGAGGTGAGGAGCAAATACCTCAAAGTAGATATGTTTGAGGATCGTCAATCTAGGATTCTTTTTTCAAATACTCACATTATTGTCATGACATTTAATAACCCGAGCGAGTAATGAAAGGGCATCAATTTTCATAGGAGCACCACTGCTGCGGTCCAGCACAGCATTCGACAAACCGGGCAGCAAACTTGGAAGGTACGATGCCAAGGATCCCGGTAAAGTCCTAAAACCAGAACGCCAGTACCGGGCAATTATTCTGGAAGACTGCACTTCGCTTACCTAACAAAGTTAGCCAGTAAATCAAAGCAAAGGCTACGAGTTTTCGGTGATTTCAACCTCAGCTGCTTCATTACAGCCTGAACGATGCAATGCCAATAGCAAAAAGCAAAGGTCACTTCCACAAATGTGCACACCTTCAACAAAGGCTCCGATTGTGCTGCAATGGCTTCAAGTAGTTGTTGCTGCTCTCCGGATAATGCAGATGGAGAGAAGAGGGTTGTTCCAATTTTGATCGGTTCTTCGGTATCATCTTTCTGGAAGAATCGAAGTTTAAGTAGAGGGATTATCGTGTACGCCGCGCACATTGTTCAAACCTGACCCATTAAAATAATATTACGTTGATGTTTGTTAAGGCATATACAAAAAAGCAAAACAAACAGGGTTTGCCTGACTTCCTGAACTGAGCTGTCAACAATGCGACTTTCTTGGTCAAGCATCATAATAGAGGTATAGAAAATAAAGTGAAATGATCAGTGACGAAAAATTAGGTTACATAAGCTTAAAATCAAAAAAAAAGTAAAATCGGAACCAGTCCGCGTTCTGCACAGCATAGGTGTAGTGAATAGTGACCCGACAAGACAAACTGAAGAAATCAAATGAATGCGATCAGAAAATTGGCAAATTGGACAAGCAGGATCTACAAAAAAGGCGACAGTACATCAAAGTCTGAGCCTTTAAGGGGTCATGTAACCATTTGAGCGGCAGCACGTAATTTGGACAGAAAACAAAACTCACGTGAAGAGCAGCAAGAGCGTTTGGCACGACGAGACGAGCCTGAGAAAGGATTGCGATGTAGGCGTTGTAGATATCAATCCTCACATTTTCTTCTCTTTCTCGCAAACGCGAGATCAGCAGCGGGCCCAAAGTTTGGACGGACATCGAAAGCTGATCACGTCGTGAAACAATCTTGAAAGTACCAAAATAAACAAGAATTCAATTCAGAAACATACTAAATTGACGAACCATTGCCTCGATTGTCTTTGCTGAAGCACGGCGCACTTTCCAGCTCATATCGTCATCATCCGAGTAATCCTCCGCATCGTCTTCATCAGTATCACCGTCTATACAGAAAAATCTTGATAAACTACGTTCACCAATATGATTCCTACCAATCAATGCCTACCCCCAATTTCCATTGACTGCTCCTCTTCATCATCGGAATATGAGTAATTGGGATCATATGTAAGGTCGGTCGTGACAATCTAGATTATTTACAGATTGATTGAAAAGGGTAAGACACATTAACATTTAACTTACCCTGAGCACCTGATCCTGATAAGCTGCCATTTCTCTCGGACATCTATACAAAAAGGTCTCCAAAGACTGCAACAAGGCTTCCTTGAGTTCATCATCATCGGCAGCTTCTACTTGCTCAATGATTTTAGGGACAACCTGGAATAAAAACAGCCCTGCCTTCAATATGAATCGAGGCTTGCCTCGGAATACAAACTAATTCTTGCTGTACTACAGCACCCCGCCTAGGTACCCTAAAATTCCATAGATAAGAGCGGTTGAAACTACCGGTGATAAATGAATTGGAATGAAATTGAAATTGAATGCAGTCACCCTCTAACTTGATGGATGGATAAATTAAACTTCGAANTTCGAAGTTTAATTTATCCATCCATCAAGTTAGAGGGTGACTGCATTCAATTTCAATTTCATTCCAATTCATTTTTCACCGGTTCTATGGCTCTTATCTATGGAATTTTCGGGTAAGTAGAAAATGTGGCAAGTGCTAGAATGAAACACCTACTCTCGGAATATATTCAGCAAAACGTGGCCCATTAGATTTGGCGACACAAGTCAACGCCACAACGTATGTGCGAACTGAGTGAGTCCCCTTGGCATCAGACAATCTGTAACATGGTTATGAGTGCACACAATTCGGCTGCCTCACTGGGTCAACAGATGAGCACACTTCAATGAAAATCAAAAAAAGTAGAACGGAATCCGGAGTTCATAAATATTAAGAATCGGAATCTCATCAGTTATCAGTGAGTACGATTCCGTTTCGACGTGCTCAACCAATCACTATAACGACAAAAAAACTTGATGTACCTCTCCACGAAAACGTCCATTGTGTCTTTGAAAAGATCAGTTGAACATACAGCCATCATTGCGCTTAGAGCGAGCGTGGACTTCTTTTTCAGGGCAGGTCGCTCAAGTAGAAGCTGGTCAAGCAGGATCTTCTGAGTCTGTAAACATGCTAACTTCCAGACAAATCACAAAGCAAATGGTTGTTTGAATGGGATTTTAAATGATGAGGGCTCTTATGAGGTTTCCTCACTTCAAATCAAGGACCACCTTTCATGCTTGCAGAATGATAACCTCATCCGAAATAATCTCGTAATAAACGCTACTTCCGACGTTCAAAAACATTGCTAGCGCAATAAGAGCAAAAGCAGAGAAGTATGAACATAAATTCGCTCAGAAATACATGATAGGATCAAATAGTATGGGAGAGAGGAAATAACCGGTATGGGAAATAGGAAAACTGATATTCTATTTATTTCGACAGCGATATTCGAGAACAAACAATAAACACATGCAGAAACTGGTAAAACGAAGATGGAACATTAATAAAAGATGAACGAACCTCTCTATGAACGGGTGCGATGAGAGAGCCAAAGCGTGTGAGAACATCTCCAATCACATCGACCACCTCCAGGCGAACTGAGTCATTAGGCTTTGTTTGCTCTGCAACCAATACATTTGAAACCTAATATGTATAACAACTGCGATCATAGCCTTTACCTAAAGCAGCATTCAATTTCGGTACCAATCGCTTCATCAAATTTGTTACAAACACAGTGTTCGCCACTGGTAAATGTCCAACCACAGTTTTAAGCGCGATAGAGCTAACCTATAAAAGACCACTGAACTGAAACTTTAGACCAAAAAAAGATTGAATACTTACGTCACGCAGCGATTCTGATCCTGCTACCATCATTGAGCATAGAGCATCTACCAAAGTTTCCGCCTGGAATTCACGATATGTGGCCACTACTGCGACACTTTGGAAAAATTCCGCACCTGGGCCTCCTTAACTCTCTGTGTGACAGTACCAAGACATTTCACAGCCAAATTCTGCACTTCGCCATTGTTGTCGTCCAGAAGCCGGATGAGCATCCGCACAACCTTAAATTCATTCAGTTAATCCGGTCCGTCTGCTAGCCTTCTTAAGGTGCATTCCCATTTTTTGCCATAAACTCAAAAAAAAACAAGTACTCATCCCAAATAAAGTAACATGCAATATGTACACAATGGAAAACTTGAAACTCGAAACATTCTCGCTGAGTACAAGGAATTACACCTTCTTTTCAGAGTCGTCATCAAGTCTCATATTGTTCGTCTGCAGTTCCCTCATTAAATCATTAACAGCCATGAAGCGATAGTCCTAAAAAGCAGAGAACTCATCACCGGGCGCAAACATAGTGGGTGCAGGTACGCCCGCCGCCCCCATAGAAAATCCCAGCTAATGTGATTTCAATTTAAGACCCGGACGCGTACGGTACAAAAATAGATATGAAATAAATAAGTAAACATATGAACAAATAAGTGTCGAAGTCAAACAAACCTTGTCGACCGACATCATTTTATCTATTAACTGCGCCACATGGTAGGCGGAAGTGGCTGTGGTGGCCATGCTTGCGCTAAGAAAAGAAACGGTGGTGAAAAAGAGAAAAAAAGAGTGATGATAGTCACATAATGCTTTCAAAAATACGGTTACGAGCTATGAACTCCAGAACAATTGGACAGTGTGTGCCGCACTACGTTTATACAACTTATAAAAATGAATAGCAGTCGTTGTGAAGAAAGAAAGAATAGAGGGGATCGGGATGAGTATCCGAAAGTGCCTTGCACCACAGTCAACAGAATGTAATTATAAAACTAAGCTATTGCTATAAGGGATCAACAAATGGAATCAACAATGAGAGTGAACAACCGTGAGAATGGGCATCGGGAACCTACAACGTGATATAACCCTAAAGTTTGAACCGTACGGATTTTAACAATGAGACAATTTGAAAATCTCTAACATTAGCTCATGTGAATGGAATTTTTCAACACCTTAGCCAGGTGTGCATAAAAAGAAAAGGCTAGACGGAAGCTAGAAACCACAACAACGTAACAATTAAATTCTCATACTGGCTAACTGTGGAAACGCAGCCTCCATCAGTGAGAGCATTGGAGTCGGTATTTTCGAACCACTCAAGTAACCCTAGAATGCGAATTGTTATCACCTACAACGGTAATGAATTCAATATTAGAAATGAGCGGAATTTCTCGCTGAGCCTAAATGTAAAACACATATTAGATAAGAAAAAAATAATGACACCTTAAGTTGTCCGGTTGCCGCAAGTAGAAGTCCCAGAAAAGGCGGGCTCGGTTGAAGAGGATGGGAGAGGTATTCGGGGTGGAACTGAGCTCCAACAAAGTAAGGATGATCTATAAAATTATTTTAAAACATGGCAAATTGTTTTGGTATCTAATTCCATGGGACAGAAAAAACAGTTGTCAGAGATAAAAGAGGCTAGAACCTTTCATTTCACACATCTCCATCCTCAGAGCAGGACGGGTAACTCCATCACCTCCGCGATGACATAGATCCGTTATCTTTGATATAAGACTCTGAAAGAACTAAGTTGTTTGAGAAAAAATAACTATTCCCCGTGATATTACACTGATAACAACAGTGTTACTAACTAACCTAAGGGCTGCAAACGATGCTGTAAAAATCGCGGATCGGTGTATAAATAGTAGGTCAATTGCAAAGATCTGTCTGATGTCAAACCTAACATGGGTGAGCAGAAATGGAGAATATTTTTTTAGCTTCTTGGAAGTTACGCATTTTCTGATCGAAAATCCTTTTCAGTTGAGCCTCAAAACGACAATTTTTCTGATAAGACCCAAACAACGCTACGAAATTTCTACAAGCCCAAAAAGTGAGCTTCTGCAGACGATCAAGCGGAGAAAAAACGTTACGTAAGCGAATTTAGGCCTTACTTCATCCGCCTGATGATCCACAGCCATTTTCATCAAAGCAGCACTCGACTCCGTGCGGCTGTGCTCTGTGAGTGTAGTACTTGATGTCTCATCAACTCCCATACCTAAAAAAGTATTTTTTTCGAACAGGCATGGCATGGAACGCTGCGCTTTTGCGTAGTTTGCAATACTCACCGACGAAAAGTAGCCCCTTTTTGCTAAGGTCAGGCACAAAACGTGGGTTGACTTCATAACGATGACGATGGCGCTCTTCGATTTCATTACGTCCGTACAGCTTTCCTTCAATAGTAGTATCACTGCACAACCTACGCGAATTTTAGTGGCTACTGTGCTCACGTAGTTGACAATTCTCCGTTAGAAAAACACTCGTACGACGTCCTAGACGCATTGTTCCTCCCAAACCTTTATGCTCCACATTGTGCTCCGGCATATCGATAATGATCTCAAATAAAAGTCCGTTCACTACGAAAAAATGACGGCAAAAATGAATATAGGAATACTATTTGTGGAGGCTTTCCTGAAAACAGATTCGCCATTCTGTTAATATCTTTTGAGGCCGAGATTCATCGCTAGCATTACTACCAATGAATCTGCTGTCAGCCGCCAACTCATTTGATATACTAGAAGCAAACAACTGGCTCGGAGAATAAGAACTCTTCCAGAGCGAATGCAGCTATGCATCACACTACATCTGTGGAAAATATGGTATTGAAAAAGTTAAAGTTCAAAAAAGTTTCAAGGTTTGGAATTTTTTCCAGGTTTCACAAAGTTGCTTTGTCTGCATGTCGTCATCAGAATATCGAATTCCGTTACGAAATAACCCACATCCCAGAAAAGATAGCCTCTAGAAAAAANGTGTTGAGACGCTTGTTTTATGAATGAGCTATTTATCCAAAATATACTTAAAGTTATGTTTACCTGCTCATCTTCGCGTAAATTTTTGTTAAACTCAGTTGAGTTTGCATTTTTTATGCCCAAAAGATTGCGGGCCACTTCAATCGCCGCACACTGCATACCCAAACACACACCTGTAAACATAAAAGTCATTGAAGTGTCACTGCTATCAACATATTTGGCTACTTTCATAGTCCACCGGCCGATGGCCGACCGGCGGACAATGAAAGCAGCCTTTGGGTCGTCAAATGGTGAGGACTCACCCAGGAACGGGACATTATTTTCTCTAGCATACTGGCAGGCTTTTATCATTCCTTCAACGCCGCGTGTATCAAAACCACCAGGAACAATGATACCGCTGTAATGAGTAAGATGTTAGGGTATGTTGGCCGGTGAGCAATTGACTTACTCAGCCTTTCTGACAGTTTCCCACGCTGCGTCACATTTTCCTTTCAATTCGGCAGGTTTCCCATCTTCCAGGAGTTCAGAGTCAACGAACTGAAACGAACGGGCCAGATAGTCAACCTAGCATGAGCTAACCTCCTGAAGAAGGAAAAACAATGAGTTAACAAATCGTAAAAGGAATTGCCTTAATTTTGATGGCTCGTTTACTGTGAATTGCAGCATGACTGAGCGCTTTGTTCACTGATGCATACGCGTCGTTTATCTTCACGTATTTCCCAACTAAGGCAATAACAACCTCTTGTGTGAATGAGTCACATCTAAAATGAGATCACCACATTGTCAATATGACCCATTTCCTCCAAATAGTAGAAATATACCGAACAGCAGCTGACTTACAGTTCACTAAGATGAGTCCAGTGACACATGTTGAACTTTAAGCCGCGTCTCACCTCCTCGCTGATTGGTTTCAAATGTAGACGGTGAATAATCGCATCCAACACGTGTTGTTCTTGTAGCAACAGCGGCACTTTGTATATATTGGACACATCGTGAACCCCAATGACCTGAAACTATCTGGAATAAAGAGCCGCTAAGGCCGGAAGAGTACCGCTTCATATCCAGTTATGCTAGTCGAATTAACACAATGTTTAGAAGGTTTTGCCTCGCACAATCTAACGCACTACCGCAACAAGTTCCCTTATAGATAAGCTATACGTTAATTGTGTCGATTGGTGCTGCTAACGAAACTGGAGAAAGGTCGTCTGCCAACCGATAAACTAAAAGTGAAGTTTTCAAAATCCGCTCATTGACAGGTCCCTCATTAGTTAATCAACACTAGATTATATTTCACTGAACAGCATTTATTGGCAGTTTTTCAGATTTGTGTTAATGCTTTGACATAAACAATTAATAATTTTGATATAAAATGTTAGTGCAGCGAGAACTCCCCACGGTAACTTCTCTTTCTGATCGAATTCGCTCTTGGTGAATGAAAGCGCACTACGCTGAGGTCGGATTGCAATCGACATTTCAAAGGGAAGGATGCCACTTACAATAAATCCCTTATAACCAGATTAGCTTCAAAGTGCAGGGTTCATCCATTGACTGCTCCCCACTATAAGGCGAAACATACAACGATGGGCTCTCTACCTCTCCATTAACTCTCTCAAATCTCAAGAAGTACAAGCAGACAGAATTTTGGGAAGCCAATACCTGTAGTATTGCCTTCTCAAAGTTCATATTTGTATTCAGTTCTCACTTTCAAGAAAGCGAGTGGAAATTGTAAACCGGCAATGGATAGCTTACCTGTTCCAAATCTACAAGTCCAAACGCCGCAATTTTCTCACGTAAATGTTCTTGTAATGGCTCACTGGAGCGACAAATCAGAAGATCCGGCACTAGCCCAGCAGCACGCAGATGTCGTACCTACATATACTGAAGCGTTTGAGGGATAAGTTTTACAGAATTAGATTATCTCACCGAATTCTGCATAGGTTTAGTTTTCGGTTCACCAGTGGCGTCGGGATGCATCACAAGAGACACGTGAACGTTCATAAGATGATCCTATCAATGCTTTATATTCGAGGCGTAAAATGAAGAATCATAAGGCCACCTTGTAAAAGATGTACTTATACTTACTCTTAAGGCCGGTCTCTGGAAACGCTCGAATGCCGCGAGGTAGGACATCCCTTCAATGTCACCTATAGTTCCTCCAAGCTGAAAAAAGAATCATATCTAAGTGACAGATACTGGCGCTTTTAGTGCCCAAACTTCTGAGCATTTTCTTCAGCTAAAATTAATCCCCAGCACGTGTCTACCAATCTCATCGAGATAAAACTAATTGAAGGATAAAAAAAACTAAATCGCAAAACTTCCAAGCTACATATTCATTGAATCCAGATTGAAGCATAAAAAGTAAATAAAGGCAGTGCCTCTCACCTCTATAATGCAAACATCTGGTCGCTCCAATGTACCATCTACTGGTATTCTGGCCACTCTTTCAACCCATTGGATGATTGCATCAGTGAAATGCGGAATCATTTGAACCGTTTTACCGCAGTAATCACCTCGACGCTCACGCTCTGTGACCTGTAAGGCAGAGATTCAGTCAGGAGCAGAAGGCAGACATTGAAATAATATATGCTGTTGTTTGGACAGAATGCATGTGCAAGCGCTGCAAAAGCAGTGAGTGCTTGAGGATAAAAACTGAAGTTATCAGCAACATCCATGAATTCATCGTTGGACTCCGCTTCTCATACATCTTCCCAATTGTGGTTGATGGCTCGACCGTCGCAAAGGAATGCATCGCCATCATACCAATCATCATGGCAAACTTTCAAGGCCAGAAGAGATTTGTGCCACTGCGCACCAGAATGGAACCCAACAAGGGATCAATGCGCTCGCTTATATAATTTTTTCCATCCTTTTTGAGGATTTGAGTAAGATTACCCTCAAAATATTGATTGGCTTAAATATGCATGTGCAGTGGTTGAGTTGGTTCAACACACTTGTTTGAAATAACGCTCCTGAATGTATACGCAAAATAGCGATTCCGTCTGACTCTGAATAGAGAGCTTCCTTGCGAGATTCCAGTATTTATCCATTTATTTTTAATGAGACCAAAAGGACTTTCGACCAACAGATGGCCAACCAACATCCATCACTAATCCTTTTTCAAACACTGTCACCCTAAAGTGCACCCGTGACTGCACGCACACAAGCTACTTGACAATCCATTGGGAACATAGTGAAGGTACTACCACATATAAGGCAAAGCATGTAGGTGATTTATTGAGAAATATGATGGGACGAACTAATGAACAATATGACGACCTATTTTTAGTTCAATTAAAAATGGAAAGTAAAACGTACATGTTGGAACATTTTTCCTGTGGTTATGTTGTTGTCTCTAGTTAAACGAACGTTTAAAAAACGTTCATAATTGCCCAAGTCAAGATCAACTTCGCCACCATCATCGAGAACGAATACTTCACCTGAACCAGCAAAGTTTAATGAAGTCGATACCGTAACTTCGAAAAATAACCAAGAAATTACCGTGCTCGTATGGTGAGAATGTGCCAGCGTCAATATTGAGGTAGGGATCGATTTTGATAGCTGATACCTTGAAATAATTCGAGATAATGGACTACTGCAGGCCTAACTCAAAACTTGACGACAACACACCCTTCAAAGGCATACCTTGTATCCATTATTCTTCAGAAGTACACCGATGCTTGACGATATAATGCCTTTGCCAACTCCGCTGATCACTCCACCTGTTACTAAAACGTATTTCATGGGTGTTTCTTTGGGCTCATCAGGTAGACCATTTGGTAATCCGTTTTCGACCACCATCGTAGCGAAAACGGTGAGCAAATCTGAAAGGCAGCTCGCTAAGGACACAGACTTTGTTGTTAATCAAGTATGAAATATATCGAGAGGTAGGTGAAAAGGATGAAAGGAACGTTGCTGACAAAACTGACGGCGACGTTGTTCAAAAATGAACGGCTGTCGAAGAATTGCTTTTCAAAGAGCTCGACTCACGCACAAATGCACAACTCCGTTTGGCGGACCTTCAGTTAAAAGTCTACTCGTCCCATGTCCTGTCTCTTCCCCCATGAATTTAATGAAGGAGTCAGAGGTGGCAGGATTCTTGGCTGAGATTGATTGGTATTGATTACAAGTTCGATTGGGAAAGGTTATCCTTTTCCGGTGCGCTCGGCACTCAATCACCTTCCCCTCAGGTTGAACATAAGGTATCTGGCGAAATGTTCGCAGTAGTCCGGATTTCTCTCAGGATCTTCTGGAGCTTCCATGAAGTTTTTATCCAAGGATAGTACCCACACGCGCACGTATGACATATCGGGCTACTTTTTGATGTAATGACCGCACTGTCCTCCCATATTCAACATATACACCTTTATGAGTTCAAAAACACGGCTACTCCGCTGCTGAAACCCATTGAAACTTGGGTCAATCAGAACTGAAACTCAAGCGTCTGGCTCTGTCTGGCTCTGAAGCCTTTCCCAGGCGTTTCTGTGCACTCCTCGTTACTGGGCTTCATAGGCTGCTATCAAGTCTGCAAGCGAGCGAGCCGGCTGGGAGACGACTCGTCCGGCGGTATCGACCAAGATTCAGTTGTAAACAGAGGCAAGCGCCGCTCGCGGTCACTCGCGGGCCAAATCGCGGACTATGAAAGCAGCCATTCAACCATTCATGAGCAAGTGCGCCGTAGTTTCCAAGCCGTACTACGGGAAAAATCTCTGACACTCAGCTGCATCTTTCCGGAAAAACCCTTCTTAAAGGGTTCGGATTAAATTTTGTACTTTTGTCGACCAAAACTTGCAATATTGCTCTGATGGTAGAGATTCTAGCCAAGACCACCGTGAAAGAGGGAAAATGGCTGCGATAGGCGATCTGATTCTCTTCAACGGCTTCAGAACTGTAGGGTTAAATATACGTGTACTTTGGGATCTCAGCATTCTGTTTGAAAGAAACCAGAATGATCCTTAAAGTGGAATAAACTATGGCTTGCATCAACACTAAAACCCACTTTTCCAAAAGCTGCAAAAGAAGCAGAGCTGAAACCAGTGATGACACTCATAAGTAGTGCCAATAAGTCTGATCAATCGATAGATCCTTTCAAATCCACTGCTCTTATTTTTTTATGCTTCATAATCAGAGTTCGAAACAAGTAAAAGGAGCTTTTGCATTGCTATTCAGAATTTAGTTCTACCGATATCTACTATGCCCAATATAGAATGAATTTGGGCGGAGGTCATCTAGCGGCAAGTATCGCGCTTCACACGCGCATGGTCACGGATTGGAGTCCCGGATCTATGTATAACCGCCTAAGCCAACCAAGTCTTCCATCCCTGCAGGG